TCTTTCTTTCTTTTTCTTTCTCTTTCTTTCTTTCTTTCTTTCTTTCTTTCTTTCTTTCTTTCTTTCTTTCTTTCTTTCTTTTCTTTCTTCTTTTTCTTTCTCTCTTTATTCCTTCCTTCCTTTTTTTTTAATGGCTATAGTAAAACAATTAAACCAAACAAAATAGAATCTACATTATCTTTTTAAAACCACAACAGGAACAACAAAATTCCCATGGATGGAAAGCTCTACATACCTTTATGGATGGCATTATCTTCCCTTTAAGAGAAAATTATTTTCAAAAATTTTCAAATATATTAAATTATCTCTCCTTTAGTCAAACACCCTAGAGATTTATTTGTTTATGGTCCTAGTGGTGAGTCAATTCTTGTTCCATACTCAAGTCTCTGTAGAGTCATGTAGGTCTCTATAGTAATTTGTGTATATGATGAAATAACAAGATAGTGTATTTTGAGGATCCATAGAAATTACCATTCAAGAGATTTCTAAATATTCTCTTCCAATGACAAAATCCTGGATACATAAAGCTGATATATATATACATCAGGTCTATTTACAACTAGATTTAAATCAGTCATTTTTTCTGCAACTTGCTTATTTTTTTTCTGAACAAACATCTGATGTATAACCCTATATAGTTTTTACTAAAAAGCCAAAACCAGGGTATATGTCTGTATATTTTTAACCATCTAAAATCTTATAAACCCCCATATCTTTTCCACTCCCTAAACTCTTATTCTGACCCTTTCATGTGTTTACACTGAAGTTTATAAGTAGAAAGAGCTTAAAATAAAATGGTAACATTTTACAGTGTTAAAATATCAGTGTACAAATAGCTCTAAGAAAAGAAAAACGTATGGAGAAGAACAATGTGCTGCATTATCTGTGGAGGGAAGCTGGTTATGCAGCAAGTGTGACTTTGGTGCCCTGTCTCCATATTCAGGTATGCCATAAGTGAAGCAGCCAAAGCTGCTTTTCTCTTTAGCTTTCTTCTTGCAAACAGGATGTTCGCCATTAAAGTATGAGAAGGTCTAGCCCATGATCATTCTGAGAACCAGATTTCCTATGTCCTTTCTATTTATGATAGTAATAAAAACTTACTTTGAAAAACTACAGTTATGAGTTCGTTTAAAATGTGGCTATGAAAGAAGGAAACTGGATCACTGAACTTTTCAATGTAAAAAACAAAAAATCAAGACAGTATGAATATAAAAAATGATTACTAAAAAAAAATAATAAGTGTTAGACACTGGGATCATTTCTTCCTGCCAGTGGCATCTCATTATTGCCATTTGAGAAATGAAAAAATAAAACCAGAACAGGCTTGAGATTAGGGAGAGGGCAATGAGGCACTGACCTCAGATATGACATTTAAGGGGGCACCAAAGAACTCAGTAATCAAGATAATATTTTAATGCAATATTTTCAAAAATCAAATTAATGCAAAAAAACCCATGTCGAACAAATACCAAAATGTTAAATAAAAACAGGATCCCACAGGGCAAGGATTAGGATAAGGCAAGTGAAGTGAGTCATGTAGGTCAGATATTTCTTAATTTTTAAATTTAAGAAAACTGGGGATGGGGATGAAGGAGTGCACTTGTCGTGATAAGCATTGGGAAACCAGTATGAAACCAGTATTCCGCTGTATGTTAACTAACTGGCAGAAAGAAAGAAAGAAGAGAAAGAAGAGAAAGAAGAGAAAGAAAGAAAGAGAAAGAAAGAAAGAAAGAAAGAAAGAAAGAAAGAAAGAAAGAAAGAAAGAAAGAAAGAAGAAAGAAAGAAAGAAAGAAAACTGAGGAATGCATGTATACTAAAAGGAGAATAAATCTCTGTTTACCTACAATTCAAATTTAACTGAGTGTCCTGTATTATTATGCACTAGATCAGGCAACCTTATCCGTAGGGGTAATAGTGATGCTCAAGATTATAACTGGGGTTGTTAAAGACACGTGTGGGAAGGCTCCATTGCCTCATTCTGTGAAAAGAAGGGCACCATGGGATTCTGTGTGCCATTTGGGATCAATAACCTGTAACTGCAAGGCATATGTTCATTAGATGTGAAGCATCATTTTGGTCGCTGTGAGAAACTCACAAAAGTTGAGATCTATGATCCTCATGCTCAAGGAGCCCCTAATTCAGGAGAGTAAACCAGAATATGAAATTAAGAACACTAACAGCTATGCAGAGAGACTAACACTGTTACAGGCTAAATTAGTTGTTCAAAAGAGGGAGATGATGCATTTGGGAAATCAAGTAATCTCAGAGGAGTGGGGGAATTTAGCTACACATTAAGTGTTCGGTAAGATCTGAATAGGAAAGAGAGAAGTACTTGAAGGGAGGACAGGGTGGCAAAAAGAAAGTCATCCAGTCAAGAAACAGCAAACAAACTGAGGGTTCTAGAGGGGAAGGGGGTAGGTGGATGGGTTAGCCTGGTGATGGGTATTAAAGAGGGCATGTATCAAATGGAGCACTGGATGTTATACGTAAACAATGAATCATGGAATACTACATCATAATGTATGGTGATTAACGTAACATAATAAAATAAAATTAAAAAAAAAAGAAACAGCAAGGTGGGTTCTAGGAGGACAGTGAGTGGAATGGTGCCAGCTTTTCTTTATGATATAGAGGGATAGGTTTGACAAACTGGAGAGAAAAACTACTTTTATAAGAGCTTCTTTATAGTGTAATTACTGCCAACTATATTTGATCTTCAAACTCAGAGGATATCTGGTGACATTAGCATTCCACGTCACTGTGTTGTCAGGATTCTGCTTGTGTAATATTTGTAATCCTGGGTTTCTTCAGCTTCCAAGTCTTTGGCTAAAGATAACTAAAAAAATGCAGATGACTTGGGTGCCATATTTGCTCTCACTATTTAGAGAGGCTGGGTAATAGCAAAGCAAGGACTAGAACTTTGGAAATTTTGGCCACTGGCTGAAGTTGTTAATTCATCAGCCCTTTGTCAGCTCTAATTTCTTTAAATAAGGTATGTGTGCAGGAATAATGGTAATTGATCCTCAATGCTCAGATTAACACAGCAAATGGGGACTAGCAAACCATCATTTCATGCTTTTCTGGGCTCTATTAGGTTGACATATGGAAATACTTTTAAATTATCAACTTAAATTGGACAAGAAGCCAATCACTGAGAGAGAGAAAAAAAAAAAGTCTTGCCTCCTAGAGTTAGTCATCCATTAGTAGGCTCTGTGGTCTTAGACTAACAATTTGCCCATTTTTTATGTCTGAGTTTTCTCATGAAAACAATGGGTAGTGTAATATATGCCCTGTCTTTTCACCAGGTTAGCAGGACAATCAATCATGATGTCAATGTGCTAAAAAAAATAAAAGGCATTAACAGTATTCAGAGTAATTAGGAAAGTATTTTTGCGGTGGAAAAAAAATGAGACAATTGATTTGGAAACTATGTAGAAACTATTTTTGGGTTACCTAGGGGTGGGGGTGACAGTCAGTTGGGGCTTTCTCATCTCTAAAATGTGGATAATGTTTTCTCTGTGGGGTTGCCGGGAACAGTAAGAGAAATAGAATTTGTAAGAGTTAGCACAGTCCTTAACCCAGCAGAGGTAACTCAATCAATGTTAGTTTCCTCTCCTTCCTCATCCCATGGATCCCCTCAAAGCTGAGGACAACAAAGTCCAGAGAGATGAACGGATTCTGATCACCTTGCTACTTAGTGTCTGACCAGGACCTTTGTGCTCCCAGTCTAGGGATTTTCCATTCCATGTCCAAACCATCCTCCATCTCTAAAATTCTAGGATTCTGTGATTTTATAGAGTTTCACATGTTTCTGTTCAAAGGTTACCAAAAAAATTTAAAAATAGAAAAATCTCAGTTTGAGTTATATTTCCTTTGTCATGTTTTGTCCACAGATCTTGTGATCTTGTGTGCCTTTCTCGGACATGCTCCCCACTTGCTTACTTTATCTTCACAGAGAGATGTGACTGAGTCTGCAATAGAGATAGCTATTTAATAAATACTGTTATTAAAAAAGAAGAAGAAGAAGAAGAAGAAGAAGAAGAAGAAGAAGAAGAAGAA